GTATTCGTGTTCCCATTGGTGACGAGTTTCAAATCAGCCAATGAGAGCACGATTTTATATCCGGGACTTGAATTTGCCCCCCATTAGCTGCGTTCCCAATTTTTAGACTCGATGCCTCCTCTAGTGTTATTTATAATCTCTATGGATGTGTGAATGTGGGGAATCTGGGAATGTGTATTATGTGCATGCATGGAGTTTTGTAGTGAAAGAAAAAAGAGTTCGAGTGAAACTCCAATATAAATTTATCTTTCTGTTAAACGTGCACATAAATTGACCAATCTTACAGTATATATGAAAGTGGTATATACGATTTCAAGATGTCAGACGAGATAGCTCTAACCACGGACGGCTGTTCAGAAAGTCCATGTGTTTTGTGTTGGGAGACTGCAAGTTGGACGCAATTAAAGGCATATAAACAAGGTGTATGCCCAAGAAAATGTTTAGCATTGTTGTCACAAAGTTATATTTTAGCAGCACAGAACAGCAAGCCTTTTCTGCAAGTATGGGATATCAGTAAGGTACGAATCACAGGTTGAAAAAATATTTTGTTTTGGTGATGTGCTGTACATCAATCCATTCAAAAGATTCACAACCAATCCCATGGGATTCAAAGGACAAAGAGATTTTCGCCATGTTGTATGATATTTGTATTGCAAACAACCAACATTCCAACATGATGTCATGCAACATGGCGACAGTGATGTAACTTACACACAACCTATTGGTATCGACATGAATCGATTCAAAAGTACAGAATTATGTTAACCCATTGAGTGCCACATTGAGGGTAGGGCATATTGTTGGCACGAGAAATGCCAGATCTCCAATTCCGGAGAACCTGGAAATGCCATTTGCTGCGGTTTAGGCATTGAATTTTGTGCTCCAGTTTGACCTCAAGGAGGGGCAAAACCATATTTTAGCCAAAAATTGTGATTTGATGAACCATCACACTACTGCAATGAATTAAGAAAAATAATTTTGCAATGAATTAAGAAAATGTTTGCTATGAAAAGGTGCTGATTTTTATGGGGAATTCAATGGTGTTCTCCATTTCTCTGTGCACACAGATTTCTGTAGTAGGTCCCGGTTGCTTAGGGTCTACACTTTGTAAGAAGTTGAAACAGTGATAACCATTCATCTCTGTATCAAGTACCCTTTTAATGCAATGTTTTGAAAGAAACTTTGTAGTAATTGTAATGAAGGGCAAAATTAGATGAGTCGTACAGTCATAATTCATTAATACACTGATACACAGGGACGCCAGAACTGGGAGGGGCAGCCGCCCCCGTTGCCCTTTACCAGGAGGGGCAAGGGGGGCAAAGGTGCCTTTTCAATTTAAAGGGTTGCCTTGGTGAAATAGTGAATTGTCAGAAATTGTCAGTGCAATTAGTGAATTGTAGCGAATTGTCAGTGCAATTCTTTTACAAATTCGCTTCAGAAAACGCAAGAAATGCAGTCATCGAGCTTCAAGAATAGCACAATTGCCTGGCGGAGAACCCCCTCACACCCCTATCATCCAATAAATAGAAAACATGATTAGGCGAAGTTCAACTTCCGATGTTTTGCAAACATCTCTTAGAAAATATCAATTAAAAAGTGCCCTTTCACGAAAATCTGCCCCCCTTGCCTTCACATTGTTCCGGCGTCCCTGCTGATACATATATATACACTACATGCGTACGTCACGTCGCTGACTTTGGCCCATTCTACAGTAAGCCCTAACTTTCCATGGGGTTGTGATCTAGACTGATCGATGCACTTCCCCTAAATTTTTTCCATCTCCCCCTAAATTTTTTTCATCTCCCCCACTGTTTCCACCAAAAAACCGGCCTTGTAAGATAGTATAATGAATTGTACTTAATAAAAAGTCATGTTAATAATTTTAAGTCACTGCAGGTTAATTAACCCATGGTTGACCAAATACCATGGTTGACCAAATATCCTTCCAGTATGAGTGAACTGTATGTGGTGACATAGCGAACCTATACAAAGATTTCATGTAACTCTCTTACCCTTATAACTCCCCACCCCTGGGTACTTTTGATCAGCACTTCCTCCAACCATCCCATATAATTATGCCCCATCCCATATGAATATTCTTGTGAATATTATTATTATTATTATTATTTAATCATATTTGGAAACGGTAGCTCTTCAGGGCACTTACGCACCTGTTTTTCAAGAGGCCGTTTGGTTAAAAATATTACATAATATAAATATACAGTACAATACAGATAAGTAGAACTACAGGCATGCATATATAACAATATAAGACGATTAACCCTACCGCCTCCCCCCCTCCCCCTTACAAACGAATGCACTACTTAAATTTAGGTTAAGTGCATACACTTTAACGCGAGGAATAATGATCAAGAATGGACGTGAATTTCTGACTAGTAATTCCTGAACCTTTAGCCTCAAGAGGCAAATTATTCCAGGCCGAAGAGGCTGTATAGCTTATGCTTTTCTTCAAAAAATTTGTACTTGGTTTGTCAAGGGTGAAATCTCGATTGTTGCTACGGAGGTTATACCGCGAGTTTGTTTTAATATCAAACATATTCATCATACTAATTGGCAGTTCATTATTCCTTACCTTATGCATAAAAAATAGTTTTTTGTGCTTAAGGCGTTCTTTCAAGGGTTGCCAATGTAGTTCTTTTAAAACATCGCGTGATCTTGTTTCGTATGTTCTGCCAGTGATTACACGTGCCGCTCTGTTTTGCAGTTTTTGAAGTTTGTCAATTAAATAATCACTACAATTATCCCAAACAAGGCTGCAGTAGTCGAAATGTGGTAATATAATGGCATTATATACTTTTTTCAATGTTGTTTTAGGAATTATTTTTTTCATTCGCCGTAACATGCCGATACCTTTTGAGATTTTAGTCTGTATGTTTTCGATTTGCCTTTTCCAAGTAAGATTCTCATCTATAACAACGCTTAGAGTTTTAGAATAGCTTACTCGTTTAATTGTTGTTTCGCCTACGTGGATTTCCGGCTCATTTAATACTTTAGATAATCTTTGTCTGGACCCAATTACCATATATTCGGTCTTTTCTTTATTCAAAGTAGGCTTATTAGCCAGCAACCATTGGTGTATGTTGTCTAAGTCATGGTTTAGTTGTTCCTGAATTTCTGCCGCTGATGAGCCATGTGTAGAAATATTTGTATCATCGGCAAACATGCTAGCAGCCGATGAAGACAAGCAATTTGGAAGATCGTTTATATATAATAAAAACAATAATGGGCCAAGATTTGAGCCCTGTGGCACACCACATTTAACAATTCTTTTGTTAGATAATGTTTGGTTAACTTTACACATTTGTACTCTATCAGAGAGATAGGACTGGAACCATTGAAATGATTTTCCTCTTATTCCATAATTATAAAGTTTTCTTAATAGAATACTATGATCAACACAATCGAATGCTTTTTTTAAGTCAAGAAAGATAACACCATTCAAATTTCCCTTATCCATGTCAATAAACCATTGATTTGTAATGCTAAGGAGAGAAGTCTGCGTACAGTGTTTCTTTCTAAAACCAGCTTGTTGTTGTACAAGTAACCCATTCGTTTCAAGATAAGTTTCCAGTTGTTGGGTAATAAGTTTTTCAAAAATTTTGGCAACGCTAGATAGGATTGAGATTGGCCTATAGTTATTGCATTCAGTTTTGCATCCTGCTTTGTGTATTGGTGAGATTATTGCTGTTTTGAAATCGTTTGGGAATATACCTGTATTTATGGATGTGTTGAATATTAATGAAAGAGAGTAAGATACTATATCAGCTGAATCTTTTAGAAGTTTATTAGATATTCCATCGTGCCCTGTTGACTTAGAAACGTTAATAGAGGACAGTATTTTATGAACTTCTATTACAGTAGCATTCTGTATCTGAAATTGTGAATTGCAGCTCGAAAGATATGTCTCGGGTGACCTTGTAGATTGCTCCATGTTGCTCGCTAAATTCATTCCGATTTCATTGAAATATGTATTAAAGATATTTGTTATAGAAGAGACATCTGTAGCACTTTGGCTTTCGTGCTTAACTTCTGTGATAATAGTCGTTTTCGAATTTTTATTGGTAAGCTTATTAATTGTTTTCCACATCTGTTTTGGATTATTTTCACAGTTGTTAAGAGTATTTGTAAAATAGTCTGTCTTTGTTCTTTTAATCAATTTGTTAAGCTCATTTCGTGCTTTGGTAAAAGCGTCATGAAATTGTTTAGATCCAGTTTTTACTGCCTTTCTTTTCAAGAAGTCCCTACGGTGCATCATATTTTTAATTTCACTGGTAATCCATGGAGCATATTCACTTCTTACTTTTTTAGTAATCGGTGGTGCATGCCTATCTGCCACCGTAAGAAATATGTGTTTCCATTCATCCCACATTTCATTTGGGTCATTAGTTATAGAAATTGTTTGCATATTAATTCCCAGATCTTGTTTGAAATCGCCGACATTGTAATTTTTAAATTGCCTTGTCTTAATTATTTTGGGCGCTTTTCGTTGTATTGAAATTTTTCTTTGAATAAAAATAAGACTATGATCGCTAATTCCTAAGTGAACCACACCGGTGTTAACAACAATTTCTGGTTTATTTGTGAAAGCTAGATCGATTTGTGTCTTAGAGCTCTCAGTTACCCGCGTAGGCTCTTTAATTAATTGTTCAAATTGTAAAGTTTTAGTAAGTTCTTCAAGTTTCTTTGTTTGTGAGTTAGTATTATTGGTTACAATCTGAGACCAGTCATAGTTGAAGTCTCCAATCAGTATTACTTCCTTATTTTCAGAGTCCATTTTCTTAACGATTTCCTCGTAGTTATTAAAAATTTCTACCGAGGAATCAGGTGGTCTATACCAACAACTTACCAAGAAGGATTTTGATTTAGGTTTAGAGATTTCAACTGTAATTATTTCAAGATCGCAAGACATTAGCTCTTCTTTAACTTTATAATTAATAGAATTTCTTAAGTAAATAGCAACTCCCCCACCATTTCGGTTTCTATCTTTCCTTACGATTTCATAACCATTTATTCCAACTTCGTGATTAAGAACCGTAGCATCAAGTCGAGTTTCATTAATACATATAACATCAAATTGTTGATTTTGGAGATAAAGTCGAAATTGGTCTATGTTTTTTACTAGACTTCTAATATTCAAATGGGCAATTGTGAATCCTTTTAGTTTTAGTGGTTTTAAATTAGTAGCATTCAAATTTGATACACAATTGTCAGAATCTATATTTCCATTCCAGATCATATCCTTCCTTCAATTTTGCTCATTCAAAAAACTTATAATATTCTTAGCTAACATTGGTGTTCCTGCTCTATTGAGATGGATACCATATGGATTGATATGTTTTGCTTGGATATTTGCATGGGTTATATGACCCCATTTGTTCTTCTTACAATTAGTTAAAAGAACAGCATTTACCTCAGCCACTTTTCTTCTTTTTTCTGGTGTGTCCGTCCTTGTGATCAGCTCAGATATGACGACTTTGGTGTTGGGACTTTGGTTCTGGATGATATTACCAATTTCAACGACTCCTTTCGCAATTTCTTTCGCATTTTTCTGTGCCATATCGTTAGTGCCGACGTGTAGAATCACTGTATCAGG